CATAATGGAAACTTAATCTAAATTGTATTTAAATCACATTAAATGCCAAAACTAGACTTTCGAAGACAGCAAGCGATGTAAAGCATGATCATTACAATATTTTTTTTTAAAGCCACCCCCCCCTAAAAAACCCTTTTAAAAAACCCAGTGAACAAGACACAGTCAATTACAATGGGAAAAGAATTTTTTGAGGAAATCTTAGGCATCGCTCTGGGGGTCATTTCGTTTGTTTAGGTACGTTAATTTCGAATTGACAATTATATTAATGGCGTGACTTTATCCTCGTTAATTTTGAAAACTGGCATTTATCACAGTCCAGACACAAGGACATTTTAATTTAATTTCCCACTTAATTGATCCCCATAGGGGAAATTTAGGTTACACTGGCATACATATACACGTATGTGTACATAAATACACAAATGCTTAGACAAACACATACTTAAACACACAAACATACGTAATATAAAGAGTGATATTTTATCAAAGTTACCCATGGATCTACACGCTACAGCACAAATAGAGACAATAAAATTTTCAGAAACACGCTATTGTTGGTCAGCATTGCGCAGCGCCCTGTTCTGAGCTAGGGTTATTGTACCTTGCTCAAGGACACACCCTTGTGACCACCTACCAAAATGCTGCTGTCAGTGACTTGAGTCTGAGTTTTCTCAGGTGAATACAAACCGACTGATGATTTCAGCAAATTAACATTTTCTTATTACACGATTAAGATGGAGTGCAGCCCGCCTTAAGCCCCCAAATCTGCCCGTTTCAACTGGGCATGTAATACTTCCCTTAAACTTAAATATTTGTTTTCAATGAACGTTCCGAAGCTAGCGGATAATCCTACTCCGAACGGCAGCATCTTTTTAGTGTTGTGGACCATTGCAAGGACAGTATACATTTTTATAATCAATAATCTTATTATTTTGATTTCTCTCTCGAGGTCCCACAGTTCATTTTCTGTAATTTTCTTGCTTTTTTTTTATTTTTAAAGAATTTTTTCTTCTTTTTTTTGTTTCTTTGGGGGACGCTTTGTTGGATAAATTTAATGGTTTTGTTGAATCATCATCATCATCTTCATGATCATCATCATCAGCAGCAGCAGCAGCACGGAAACAACCCTTTCTACTCTCATTATCCATGGCACTATTAAAATGTCTATGGTATTGTTGTTATATTCCTAATGCTGTTCTGATAACTTTTATCCCAGAATCTATTGTTCACATGAAGAGTTTCGATCTTTCGTCTTGGAGAAAGTGAAACGTAACTACAAAAAAGTAACAATGGAAATTCTACCATTTACCAATTTTTAAAACTAACCCTGTCATAATATACTTCGTGTTGAAAATAGTTAACAAATTTTACGTGCTCAGGATTATACTAATCATATGGCGTCATTTTGATTTTGATGTTGTTGGGCAAGGGAAATATACTTTAGTGAAATTCTGGAGTTGGTGCGATGAATGCAAGCTAGCCCTTAACTGTGGTGGAAAGTGCAAAAGGTTTTGCTGATACACTTTATCAAACTATTGTTATCGATAACTCTAAGAAATGAAGAGGTTTATACACAGATGTAACGTGTGGGTTTTTTGTGGAAAATGCGCCACATTCTTGGGGGGGGGGGGGGGGGGGAAACGAACCAAAAAAAATATTTTAAAAAATCAGCAGTCACATGGAATGACATTCTTATACAGAGTGGGACATCAAAATCTCCTACATTTGGATGAAACATACAGAAAGAACACAACTACTCAAGCAAACAAAAATTTTAACTTTTGAAAAATAGATACCCGGTAATCATCATCATCCGGTGCCTTGCCGACTGGCGTGGGCGATCATGGACCTCCACTTCCATCTGTCTTTCGAAGCAGCAATGGTGTCTGTTGTTCTTGCTGCTCCCAGCCATGTTGTCATCTTGTCCAGTATCTTTTCCCTCTGTCTGCCTCTACCTCTCTTTCCATCAAACTTTCCTGTTGTTACAATGTTCTCTAATGCTTCTTTCCGCATTGTGTGTCCGAAAAAAATTTGCCTGTCGTTTTCTTATATTCGTGATAAGTTGTTTTCTATAATTTGCTTCAACCAGGACTTCTTCATTTGTTTTTCTAGCTGTCCATGGGATACGTAGCATGCGTCTCATGAACCACAACTCTGCCGCAACAATTGTTTTTTCCAGCTGTTTATTGATTGTCCATGCTTCGCACCCGTATAATAGGATTGGCTCGATGTAGCTTTTCATTACTCTTTTCCTCATTTCCAGTGACAGATTGATGTTTGTTAGTATCTGTTTCATCTTGTGGAAGGTTGCTTTTGCTTGGCAAATGCGGCTTTTAATTTCGGTGTGACATCTACCATCTGATGATATAATGGTCCCCAAATATCTAAAATGTTGTACTTGCTTGAGGGTGGTATCATTGATTTTGATATTGCATGTTGGGATTGGAGTATTTCTGCTTATCACCATCGTTTCGGTTTTCTCGATGTTTAGGTTTAAACCCATGTTGTCACTCTCTTGTACGATGACATTTAATAGATTCTGCAGGTGTTCTTCATCTTCTGCTATTAGGACTGTGTCATCTGCATATCTTAGATTGTTTATATTATGTCCCCCTATCGAGATACCAGGCATTTCTTCTATGTGTCTCATGATATTTTCACTATACAGGGAGAACAAGTCTGGAGAAAGTACACATCCTTGTCTGACTCCTCTTTTAATCGGTATGTATTCCCTGATGTCGTTTTCTATTCTCATTGCAATAATAACCCGGTAATAAGTAGTCTTAATATCAGAAATTTTAAAAAATTGAGAAAAAAGTTTCGTTACCATGCAGACGACGGTCATATTGGATTTTGTTGACATCTATTATCTATTTGTGGTGGCCGAATTTTGCTATTCAAAAGGCTTTTTAATGGCTGCATCGATCGACATGCGGTTTTTCACCAAAAGATTTTTAAAAATATTCTCCAGATCATGATGCCCTTCGTTTTTTCAGTTTTGAGACAGTTTTGCTGCAAAAAGCTAAATTTCTTTATTTCGCCAATCGCTTTATTAGGCCGACGCTTCCCGTCTCTGTAATTTTAGAAAAGGAGGTTTCCGTTCACTAACTGTGCGCATTGTTTTGGGAGTACTGATCTAAACCTTCTAATTTTGCATCTTTCAAGAGTCATTGCTCCATTCCAGTAGAATGTAAATATCATAAGCCAATGACTTTCGGCTGACGTTAATGCACCGATCATTCCTTTCATCGAAAGGGGGCCCAGCTAGTGTTTTATATGTACAATCAAAGATAGTAAATAACAAGATGGGCCACTCAGCCAAAAAAGTGTCCGCAGGAAGTATGCTCTTTGCTTCAGATGGCGCTGCAGTCTGTTTTGAAGCTCTCTTTCGTTTTTCCAGAAGAAGGATAGGAATAGCACCTCATTGCGTGCGCAGATCGACTGCTGTTCATCAGCAGTTCGGGTTCGTTCAGTGCGGAGTTTTAGGTTATTTATATTTTAATGACCTCTCGCCTTTCATTCTAAAGTCAAATTAAACGAAGAAAAAAATCACCCTTTCCTCCGGAAGAGGTATTTTGTCAGCGTAACCATTAAAAAAAAGCGTTCTTACGAAATTCATTCAAAAACTTGCTAGTTTCACTTTGATTTTTTAAAACTCAAGTAGGATAACTCTGTTCGCAAAAGGAGCTCTTTTGCGAAGAGGGCGCCATAGAATTTTGAGGACACTTTTTTTATTGGCTCAAAGAGAGAAGTGGTCCCTCTTGTTATGTAGACTCCTTGGTACAATGAATACCGCTCTTTTTTTTCATTAAAATATTATGTTGTTATTTTGCATGTATGTTAGCAGACAATAGAACTACAAATTTGTCTGTTGAATTTTTCCTGAACGAATTAGAAAATGTTTAATGAGTTTTTTCCTGAGGTAGTATTCAAGTTTGTAGAAAATCCTTGAAAATTCACACTCTAGACACCATTAACACAAATCTATTCCATGTATAAACAATCCAACAAATTAATATTTAGTGTTACATCTTCTCTACATTCTGTGAAAGCTTCATGAAGATTGGATGTAAAATGGTGGAGCTTCTCGTGTCAATTTTCTCTTCGTCTAAACAGAGTAAGGTCCATCTGTGTGTGCTGGAACTCCACAGCTGCTAATGAGGGTCACTTGCTGAAGCCTCCATCTACTGGAGAATACTATGGCAACATCCAGACACACTTGGAGGAGTAGGACAATGTGGTTACACATTGTGATGGTGGTCGGGCTTATGGCTTGTGTATGCACGGTCAGTGCTCAAGGTAAGTTTTGGAATGGTCAGACACACGTGCGCATACGCGTGCACACACACACACACACACACACACACACACACACACACACACACACACACACACACACACACACACACACACACACACACACACACACACACACGCGCGCGCACGCGCGCGCGCACACACACACACATACACACACCCATATTTGGAGGAGAGGGACAATGTTGTAACACATTGTGGTGGTGGTGGTGGGGCTTACGGCTCGTGAAAACACAGTCAGTTCTTAAGGTAAGTCGTGGGGGGGGGGGGGGGATAGAAGACCTAAACATACACACACATGCACACATGCACACACAGGCACACACACGCATACATACACGCACACACATACGCTCATACACACACACACACACACACACACACACACACACACACACACACACACACACGCACGCACTTGGAGGAGAGGGACAATGCTCCTGCACATTGCTCTGGTGGGGCTTCTGCCTTGGTAATACACGGTCAGTGCTCAAGGTAGGCCGTGAGAGGGTGAAGGTATTTGTAGTTGTATGTTCTAGTACATATGTTTTCTGTTTTTATGTACCATGTTTTCGAAAGCATCATTATGTTATGCCATTTAAAACCTAATCCCCCCCTTGGGGGACAAACTATAATGGACTTATATTTACTTGTATTTAGTCATTTATTCCCTCCAAGCAAATGAAAGCGAAGTGCGATTTCTCAAAACTACTGGTACAATGCATTTCACAGAGCGTCGCTGTATCTGCTGGCTGAGCAAAGGGACAGAACTCTACAGTTACGATATGGAGCTGATGCACTTGGTTTTGCCGTGCACTTACAGGCTGACAAGTCTGAAAACGTGAGTAACAATACATTATTGAACGAATATTTTTCTTCTAAATCTTGCAACTGATATTTGGGTGCCATGTTAACAGCTGTGACTTTGTGATAACTTTTTATTAACCCCGGCTCAATGGATAACTTTTCAGTTTGTAACGAGGGTTAAAGAGGCAGCCAGCGATTGTATTGGTAGTTTTATTTCTGGAATACTTGCCATTCAAGTGAGTGAAAAATAGTTTATCCATTACTTGATTAGAGTAGAGTCTTTGTCGTGACCGTTCGAATGTTTCTCCACGTCTTTTTTTCCCCTCTCTTGTTTTAGCCTGTTAGTTTTGGTTGTCTCCTATACTAACTGGGCGTTCTTGTGTCGATGTGTGGTGTCTTTGTACTTGTCACCCTTTCCTTGCTTTTAAATTCCTTTTCTTGTGAATTTATGTTTTAAAAAAAGACGGCATCATTTTGGAATTTACTGAACCAGGTCGTGTTGTACCTCTTTTCTAACCGCTTTTGTATCGTCTCAGGCTAGACGGAAACTGTCATTTGACTGTTGATATCAAGATGACGTCAGAAGAAGGCCAAAGTACACGCGCCGCAGGGATCAGATACCTGGTCACAACAAATGGCCACGTCACGGGGGGTATCATTGACGACCGGGGAGTCCAGGTAACGACGTGTCCCAGAGAGATTGTCCACCTAAAAGGAAGATGTTGAATTTGAAATACGATGTTTTAACATTATAACGATAATACCGTTAGCGGATGGTTGGAAGCAACCACTTGAAGGTCTGTCTGTCTGTCTGTCTGTCTGTCTGTCTGTCTGTCTTGCATTTCCCCTTCCCTGAATAATCGTCACTGAGCCGACGTACTTCTTTTTATTCATAAGTTGAGTTAGCCATCAAAGGCCATCACCGATTATCTTAAGTACTATACTCATTCAATGAGACTTTCAGTGGGTGATTTGTGGGTGCACTGGTGTTGTTTGTTCCTTCTTTCCTGTCAAACATGTCCTGATCTCTCCTCCTTCTTTTTTGTGTTTGTTACCCTCTTACAACACCTCTAATCTTCGGCACTTATATGACCTTATTGTGTTGCAAGTGCCATAAACTCTTACTAAAAACCCAGACTTTTCAAAACGCCATATATATACAATGTGAGCATGAAGCTTTCGATTTACTGGGTGAGTCGAACTATGCTCTGCAATAATGCCAAATATCCAATAGTTCACATAAAGAATTTGAATAATTTACGTTTATGAGTGCAATGTATCGATTTTCCTCCCTCCACCCCTCGGTTTTTCTCTGCCTGTCTCTCTGTGTGTTTCCCAAATTCTTTCTCTCTCTCTCTCTCTCTCTCTCTCTCTCTCTCTCTCTCTCTCTCTCTCTCTCTCTCTCT